AAGGTCACTAGCCTGCCTCTGAGAGGGAGCTGGATGGCTGGAGAGTGGGCCTAAGTGAAGGAGACTTTTCATTGACTATCCTTGGAATTTTGTGCTATGAGAATCATCTATTCAAATACATACAAGGACAGCTCTGTGTATTATAAACGATTCTGTAACAAGAGAAACTGTACTTTTAATCTGGAATTTGTTATATGTTATGAGGTAGTACCAGCACTATGTGGTGTAAGAACTCATGAATTTTGATAGGAGAATATTATTACATTACTTTTTAAAAAATTGAAGTAAATGAGATTCATGTGCAGTTGTAAGAAATAATACAAAGCTGTCTCCTGTATACTTCCTAGTTTTCTTCAGCAGTAACATTTTGCACTATAGTATCTGGTATTGCAACTGGGGCTTTGGCATTGATTTATAATCCTTAAGATCGAGTCATAATTTTTTTTTTTCCCCAAAAGAAATTGAATATAGAGGATACGGGCCTACATGGTATTGGAGGACTGAAGTTTGCTAGGTCCTCTGTGTTTTTGTTTTTGTTTTAGTGGTTGATCTAGGATTTACAATATGTAGACAGTCCCTGACTTACAAAAGTCTAGTTTATGATTTTTGACTTTAGAATGGTACGAAAGCTATATGCATTCAGTAGACAGTGTACTTTTCTAGCAGTGCTGGACAGCGGCAGTGAATCACAGCTCGCAGTCAGCCACACATTTTCAACTTAGGATATTTTCAAGGTATGACGGGGTTATGGGTACATAACCCCATTGTAAGTCAAGGAGCATCTGTAGTACTTTAATTAATCACAGTCTGCCTTTATTTTTTATTTTTTTTTGAGTTGGAGTCTCACTCTGTCGCCCAGGCTGGAATGCATGGCACACTCACAGTCACCACAGTCTCAACCTGCTAGGCTCAGGTGATCCTTCTGCCTCAGCCTTCCAAGTAGCTGGAACTAAAGGCGTGTGCCATCAACGCTCAGCTAATGTTCTGATTTATTGTAGAGATGAGGTCTTGTCAAGTTGCCCAGGCAATCCTCTCGCTTCAACCTCCCAAAGTGCTAGGATTACAGACATGAGCCACGACACCTGGCTTATTTATTTATTTTTATCTTTTTATTTTTCTGTCACCCAGGCTGGAGTACAATGGTATACTCACAGCTACTGCAGCCTCCACCTGCTGGACTCAGGTGATCCTTCTGCCTCAGCCTTCTAGCTGAAACTACAGGCACATGCCACCACACCTGGCTACTTTTTTTGATTTATTGTAGAGACAAGGTCTTGCCAAGTTGCCCAGGCTGATCTCGAACCCCTGGGCTCAGGCAGTCCTCTTGCCTCTGCCTACTAAAGTGCTGGGATTTTAGGCGTGAGCCACCATGCTTGGCTTCATATTTACCTTCGTTTTAACCACTTCTGGAGCACTTTCGTGTTTTTGTTGTTGTTGTTGATAGATATGTGTTTTTGACTGGCATTATATTCCAAATACATGAAGAACTAACTTTCTTTAACATTTCTTGTAACATAGGTCTGCTGGTAATGAATTATCTCAGCTTTTGATGTTTAAACAGTATTTATCCTTCATTTAAAAAAGATATTCTTACTAGGTATAGAATTCTGGATTGAATATTTCTGTTTAGTAAAGTTAAAAATGTCATTCCATTGTCTTCTGGCTTGCATGATTTTTTTTTTTTTTTTTTTTAGTTGGAGTCTCACTATTTCACCCAGACTGGAGTGCAGTAGCCGCTCCCGGCCATCGCAGC